AAAGTAACATTTTAAAAAGTACATAGAAAAAATCACAAACTAAGGACAATTTAATGCGTTTTATGTATATACGAAAAGGATGTGTCGTGCGGCTTCTAGATATTCGTTTTCGCATGAGTGGGAAACCGCTACGGTACGGATTCCTTCGATCCTTTCTTAAAGGAGCCGTCCAAGGGCGATGCTTTGCGCGCTTATGTTATTGTTTACATACGGCATTTGTCCAGCGTGTAAAACGAATAATAGCAAAGTATCTTTAATATTTTCAAAAATTCTTACTAGATCTCGATTTAAATTGCCTGTTTATGGCCAAAACTACACGCTATGAATGCATACGGGTCATCGGTAGCTAATTAGGTGATGAATTAGACGTTTCTTCGAATATTCGAGCCATGAAACGGACGCCGAACAAGATGAAGTAGAGACCGATCAAGCTCGCCAAAGGAGTAGAAGTGCAAAATTAGTTAACTCTATCACTAATGAGTATTCGTCTTCTCTTTGGTAGTAGAAATAACGGCTGATTTGCATTTTTATCGTGGCTTCAGTATAGTTTTGCTCTTGCAAAAATTCGTGTAGCAGAACAAAAACACCGCGCCGACTCGCAAGCTGTTGGCGAAGCAACAGTTCCACAAACTCACTATTATTCAACTGAAAAAGACCAATTCTGTCCTTTGTTTCCTTCCAAGGTTCGTATGTCATGGCCTTCTGAACGTGATATCCCTCAGTTATTTCTTCTTTCCGGCGTGGACGACCGCGAGAAGATTTCCGTTACGTTGATTTGGAGCCATATCGGCAAACTCAAAATAAGACATTTAAAAAAGACTCAATAATCGAAATAATTCAAGAAAATGAATATATATTACATAAAGAACTAATATATATCGAATTTAGAAGGAAAAACCTAGAGATGTTTCAGATTTTAGATGGATTGTGTAAGCTATCACTAAAAATAATTTAGATGTCATCGAAAATGGCGCTGATCAAGGTCTTCGCTGTAATTCGAGGCGCGCAAAGCATCACCCTGGGATGGCTCCTTTAAGTTAATCGCAAGAAATAGTGATAATCACAACGAAAGAAGGCTAATTTTCCCAACAAAACATTTAAGTGGTATTGTCAAGCAAGCAGTACAAAAAAATTCAAGTAATGCTTGAGAATTACCGACTGAACATGTYACACGCGCGAGTGCTTRATTAACCGAAAATTTGACAAACTAAAAACTTTCACACAATGAATTTCAAATATTCTCCCTGCTTAAAAGTGCTCAAATAAATACAAACAAAAGCTAATTCAACTGGTTTATTTATCAAAAAGATCATTTTGTCAAGCTGACATCAAGATACCAAGACTACACTTTCTCAACAAATCGACACTAGTGAGGTCTCGAAATGCCGAAAAAATAGAGGAAGATTGATATAATAGTCTTCTGCCAATCATTTTATATAATCTCTACTTACAAAAAGCGCGTTACGACAAGTTTCTTTTTTTGTTTGTTTGTTTTTTTTTTCATAATTTTTATTTATTTGTAATAAACAGTTTACA